AAATATAGTTTTTGCAAAATTCCATCTCAATCGGATAATAAATGCGACCCGAATTTTATTCACAAGAACACGTGGACTGATGGAAGGACCACGGACTGAAATGCATAAATCAACTCAGAAAGTGATTCTATGAAGATCCTCAAAAGTAACTATGGGTCTATCTCGCTTCCTTCTCCAAGTTACAAAAAATGCACAGAGTCTTATTACCTTTACCACTATGTGGTGTAGGGTATAAAAATGTCCAAAAGTTTGGAAGAGGGAAAACCTGTCCACCCATTTAGGTTACTTTGCGATTTAAACTTTCAATTCGTCGATACACGTGTCTTCTACTTTGTGCTCTTTTTCCATAGTCTGCTGGATTTTCACCGAAGTTATTTTTATGGTTAGTATATAAAAAACCTGAAAGTCAGATTCTAATTGAGTCGAGCCTCCTAGTTATTGCGTGATGAACTTTGTGTTGGTATATTTTCAGTCAAACTGAATACATATTTTTTTTTTATTTTTTTTTTTTTTTTTTTTTTTTTGGAAATATTTCATCCTTTTAACTCGAGTATTTTTATACCATTTTCTTCCTTCGTTTCATGAATTAAAGTATTAGGTGATGCTCACTCTTAGTCCGAAGGGGTCAGATAAGGCTGAGTTTTTGAAAATTCGTACTAGAATGGTACGAAAAGTATTAAAAGGTACTAAATATGGTACCCATTTTATTTGAAGAAGCAATAGAGTCAGGACTCTTAAAATTAGAATAAGGGTCCCTGATGAAGACTGATGGAGTGTGTGATAGATGTACCAAATGGTATTTGATTATTGGCACTAAAAGTGTACGAAAAGTATTCAAATGTACTACATTTGCTATGTATGTGCAAATTTAGTACAATATGAATTTGGTGGAACGGATGGAGCTGTAATCCTGAAATTTGAAATTAACATATCCGCCAGTAATGTTAATTTCAAATTGGAATGTGGAAGAAATTTTTGGTTGAACCGATATAGTTGGAATCCTGAAATTTGGAAATGAGATTTAAATAGGACTGTAGTTATGAAAATTTTGTACATATGTATACTAAATGGTAAATTGGGAACCATTTGGATTTTTGGTGAAACAATAGAGCCGGTATCTTGAAGATTGGAAAAATTAGATTACTGTTGGAGTTCAGAATTAGTATAAGTAGGTACTTTTGGAAATTTGTACTTATATGTACTATATGGTACTAAATGTGGTAAAATTGGTGTGTAGGCGAATCGATAAGTATGGAATCCAGAATTGGGGGTTGCTTGGTGAGTGTAGGATTGGAGTATGTAGGAAGCTTCAGAAATTCGTACCTATCTATATTATAGGTACTAAATTTAATAAAATTTAGATTTGGGTGAACTGATAGAGCTGAAATCCTAAAATGTGGAATTGGGAATACTTTGGGATAGTAGTATTGTATTATCACTGATGGAGTATAGGATATATGTTTCAAAGGTTTTTATGAAAATTCGTACTTTGAGATTACGGAAAGTTCTAAAATGGTACCATTTGATATTAAAACTTAAGCTAAACCTAAGATAAATCTAAAAAAATAAAATTAAAAAGTCGGTATGAGAATCAAGCTTAGAATGTATGTTTGATATATGAAGGTCGTTGGGAAAATGTTTACTAAGTTTGCGAACTGAACTGAAGGTACTAAATTTGGAACAATTTTGTTAAGTATTGGGTCCCTGTTGGTGGTAGGTTTATTTTAAAGAAGTGGTTTTAAACATGTGTCCTACAAGTGCACGAAAAGTACAAAATGGTACTATTTTTGGTACCATTTGGTGTCTATGGTTACGATTTGACGATGATTTGGAAATGCGTCGAATATTTGTGTGAAAAGTACTTTATGGTACTGTATTTGGTATTGGTTGAAGAAAAAAAGCTGAAATCTTGAAATTGGATACTCAGATTACTGATTGAAACAGTGTTTGAGATATAGAGGTGGTTTTGGAAATGGATACTATAATTGTACGAAAAGTACTAATTTGTAGTAAATATTTTATTAGGTGATTAGAGCTTAAATCCTTAAATTTGACTTGGATTTTGCTGTTGGTGTATTTGGTTGAAAGAAGGATCTGGTTTTGAAACATTTTTTTTCAAAAATTGATGAACAAATTTTGCATGTTGAGCACTAAAATTAACTGATGCAATGTAAAATTGCGGACTTTTCGGACACTTTATTTTCTTGCGAAACATATATATTTCCTTTATATATTTCTACCATTATGATCAAGTATTCCATTAAAGTAAAGCGAATAATCAAGTACATATTATGGCTATATATCTACCTCATTTTTTATTTCTCTTAGTGTAGTGCGTGTTTTTTTCTGATTTCACAACAAAAGCTTTAAATACAAATTATAAAACTGATTATATCCCTCTAAGCCTTTTTAATAAACAACGAATCGCATTTAGCTGTTGGGTTTTAAATACTTTTTTTGTGATGAACGAGACAGGCAATTGCTAATCCCCAAAATGAAAATTGCTCACGCCTATGAACTAGTTTTCCATTACGAAACATCTGTGTTTTAAAGTCGTTTTTTTACGATCGGAAAAAACAGGGTTAAAAAAATATAACCTCTCATTTATGGTTATGAGTTAATAACCCACTTAATCCTTACTTATATGTCATGGTAGTAGCCCTGAAGGCGTGAAATGCTCTCATTTGACATATTTCTAAACATAAAGTGAAACTGGCCGTTTGTGATGTTTGTCCGGTTACCCAAAGGGCTCCATTTCTTTTTATCACCGATGATAGATGTTGCAAAAAAGGTAGAGATGTTTCAAAAAGAATTTTAATAGCCATCGTTAAAATAAAGGAAATAACTTGAAGCTATTTTCGGAGACAAGCTGGCCTTTTTCTCAATCGTTATTTGATAGGTGAGCTTCTAGTGTCAAAGGCGATTGCATGAAAGAAATGGTGAAAAACACACTATAGCGTCGCTGTAAAAAAGGACTAAGCTGCATGGGCGCTATGAAAACAAGATAGCTTAAAAGAAATTAAAATATTTTTTGTAAAAGTGCATTGCTAGACTCGATGTATTCTTTCCATCTGGTTTCGTTATTAGAGGACAATTGCAAAAGTTCGAAAAAATTAGATTTGTATAACTAGGATTAATAGAAGAGTTCAAAGGATTGCTTAGTAACTCTTACAAAATGCAGGATGAGATAAAAACTGCAACTGCGCCAGAATTTTTTTTTTTTAATTTTATTGAATTAAGGAAAAAATGTCGGAAATAGCATAAAATTTTAGAATAAGTTTAGATTTGTTCGAATTTGTCACCTTTGACACGAATTATGACCTTCAAACGGCCCGCGAAGCGCTTGCTTGAGGTGATCGACACTTTTGTATTTTCTAGTGCCAACCTTGCTTCTCCAGACACAATAGTCCAACGGATTGATATCCGGAGATTTTGGGGTCTATTGACCGCTGGAAATAAAGCAAGGAAACTCATTTTGTAACCATTCTTGGGTGGCGCGTGCTGAGTGTGATGGTGATGAGTCCTGTTGGAATGTCTAATGTCCAAGGCTTTAATACACCCTCCAAAATATTTTCGCGATAATATTCGGCATTTATTCTGATGCCACGGTCGATTAATACAAGCGGTTAGCGACCATCTGCTGTTATGGCGGCCCACACCATCACTATTTCCGGCGTTTGAGTTCTGGTGGTCAAACGAAGTTGCACATTTTCAGCTGACCTCTTTGGCAAGTAAACACGATCATTTTGTTTGTTTACAAACTGCTGGACAACGAATGGTTTTCTCATCGGAGAAAATCAAATTCGGCAGTTCCCCACTTTCGGCCAAGCGAAGCAACTCTTTAGCTCTTTTGAGTATATTTTCTTTCTGTTGCGGTGTAAGTTCTTGCACTTTTTGGAATTTCAATGGCTTTATCCCGAGCTCATTTTTCAATGTTTGCCGAATGGAATATTGCGATATATTCAGCTCACGAGCCATTTTTCGACCAATGCGACGCGGATTTCGATCAAGTCGCTTTTTTACTTTTCGAACCATTTCTGCTGATGTTGTTGTTTTCTTCCATCCACTTCCTTGACGTCGGGCTACGGGATGGTACGAGACACAAAAGATATATTCACATTTAAATGCTGGACTGCTCTAACGATAGCCACTTGTTATTTTCAAGCCGAATATAAAGAAATCACACTATCACCCCTGAATTCCATCACGAATAACTTTTTTTCTGGAAAATTCTCACTAAAATGCCTTAGTACGCTTGCAAACAATATAATGAGCTGTCACTGGAATAATTTTAACAGCTGTCGGACTAGTGGCTTAGAAATGACAGCAGTCCAAAGTTGGTTGCAGTTTTTTCATCTCACCCTGTATTGTTAGTTTCTCGACAAATTTCTGTAAGTCTTTTTTTATAAAATTGTTGCAGTTAAAAAAATTACTTATTGAAAATGTTCACTAACTTTTAAGATCTCTCTTTTTTGTCTCCACGTCATCATATTTGTTTATGATCACCCAAAACCCTTTAATTATCCTCCAAAAATATCAATAACTAACCAGCTAGGAAATAAAATCTTCTCCCTCCCAAAAGGAAAACAAATTTGATGACCTTTTAATTTGTCGTTGTTGTTGTTTATTTCTCTAATTTTTTCCAGCATCTTTGTTTTTCATGCTTCTGCAACTTCCTTATATTATTTTCATTTCTTCCATTTTCTTATTTTGTTTACGTAAACATCTTTTAAGTGTTTCACATTATGAGATTGTGTTAATTAGCCAAAAGACACTCAGAAGCAGAAGAAATGCCAACCCCTCGAAGAGGACGAAAGGGTCATGGGCATGAATTGAAATTGTCTTTTAAGTCGTAAATTTGTTTTTTCTCCTCCGAGAGTGGCCACTCCAAGTGAATGTCCATTTCCAAGTGTTCTTAGGAAATCTTTTAAAGATTCATTTATGTGTTTATTTTTAATTAATTTTTATACTTTTTGTTTTTTTTTTTTTTCTATTTACAGAAATCCTTCAAAAAATCTTTAGTCGTCTGGAACACTCATAGAGAGGACAATAATTTCAAGAGAAAAAAGGTAAGTACACTATAGCTGTTTGTGCAAAAGTGTTATTTTCTTGCTATTTAAACACTTATAATGAGATTGTTGGGTTAGGTTTTTGTAAAAAGCAGCAGCAGTGTTAAGAGATGGGCAAATAAACGATTTATTTAAAGGGATATATTCTCTTTGTAAGGGAAGGAAAAATATCTCTTAACAATTTCTATATATATAATGCGAAAGAAAAAAATATTTTGAGTTGGTCTATAATATTGAAGTTAGAAAATTTGTAGAAAAAAACAGATTTTTTTTTTTTGAGTTGAATAACCTACAAAAATAAATTAAAATTAATTAATAAAGACATAAGGAAAAAAGCTTTTTCAATAATTACAGTAAAAATCTGGCAGATTATAGCTAAAACAGAAAGCAAGCTTATCGGCGTTTTGAAAGTTTACATCGCAAAGTACGCATATTAGTAAAAAAGTTGCATTTGTACATAATAAGAACTCAAAACGAGTTCTTCGGAGCCATTCTTATATGGGGTCTATATCAAAAAGTGAAACTGTATAACCCATTATCTGCACCAATAACATTTGAAGTAATCCAAAGCTCTCTAAAAATTTTCAAATCTCTATATTAATATTGCGAAACATATCTCAACATGTATGGGCTTCTTTGTATATGGTGAGGGTTATATAAAGCCCTTAATGAAGTTTGGCCTAAGAACCCTATGACTTACAATAGAGTACCTGTTTAACTAAGAGCAGTGGGGAATGGCTTCGACAGCGACAAGAACCACTAGAACTCCTCAGAGTTTTATGTGATGTATTGGTGAGAGACGTGAAATTTGTGTAATTCGAGCGTGGAGAGCATCCTCATTCTACGGTCTCAGTGGAAATAAAATAAAAGAAATACCTTGAAATTTTTTTATGCCTTGACATTTTTTAAAAACGCCATCTATTGGCCCTTAAACAAATTATTAAATTCACTATTATGATTCTATTGACCTTTAAAATTAAAAAAATCGCCACAGCAGCTCTCTTTTTAAAACATTTTTGGTTAATTTTTTATTTATTTTGGTTTGAAAGACATTGTTAACTAGTGTATGGCTTCAGATACGTTTAAACTAGAGTTTCATATTTTTCCTCTGTTACTTATGTGGCTTTAGATACGTTTACAATTGAGATTCATATTTTTCCTCTGTTAGTCTCTGATCAATCTGAAAAAATCTTTTTTGTCCTTCAGAATCAAATAAAACAAGTAAAAAAGCAGTAAGTTCGGCCGGGCCGAACTTTGAATACCCTCCACCATTTAGAACGGATTTAAAAAGTTTTCGAAAAAATATAATTCGCCAAAAATTCATTTTAAAAATAGCGAATATAGCCGTTATATTAGGGCCTGTACGACGTGCACCTACATAGGCATTGTTTGTCAGAATCCATTACCATATTCAAATTCGAAACTTGAAATAAGCGGTGAATAATGTAGCCAAAATCATCAAAATACCGTACATAGAGAGGTACCGTTATATAGGAGCTATACGAAGACCTGGACCTGTATAGACAATTTTCTGTACAGGCTATAGCTTTCATTACGAACTTCAAATACGTCATCTCAAACAATTTCGGTGAGTATTGTAAAAATCGTCAAAGTACTGAATATATGGAGGTACTGATATATGGGGCCTATACGAAGACCTGGACTTGCACAGACAATTTTCTGTCTCAGGCTGTAGTATCCATTTCGAACTTTAAATGCCAAATATGAAACAATTCCGCGGAATAATGTCGCTAAAATCATCAAAATACCGAATATAGGGAGGTACCGTTATATGGGGGCCATATAAAAACGTGGACCTACATGGCCCATTCACGAACTTAACCTGCCTACTGGAAAAATAAACATGTGTGCAAAATTTTAGCCTTCTATCTCAATTTGTTAGAAATATAGCGTGATTACAACAGACAGAGAGACAGACACACAGACAGACGGACATGGCTAAATCGTCTTAGAATTTCACGCTGATCAAGAATATATATACTTTGTTGGGTCTAAGATCATTATTTCGATGAGTTACAAACGGAATGACAAAATGAATATACCCTCCATAGTATGGTGGAGGGTATAAAAAACCAAGAAGGAATTGAGATCGAATGGCTTTGTTTTTAAAAATCCCAGTAGTTTGTGGAAAAAATAAGAGATTATGAGTATTCAAAGAGGGAAGTTTCGAAGAAGTGGGTCAATATTGTCCATTTCGTGTCTGACACAAGTCAAATATAAATATTACAACCAGATTTGGAATATATCTACACGCCATATATGTGATAATTTTTGGAAACCACACACAGATCTCCCAACCAGAGATCTGCTGTGAATATGGAATTTCACAAATATTTGATTGTACCAAAATTTCAATAGAATCGTTGGGTTGTTTAGCAAGTATTTACAATTGTCACCCTTTGTGGGGAGGAACCACAAGGGTTGGGCTGTTATATCCCATCTTTACACCAGATCTTACATGGGTAAAAATATTTGGATGCGTACAGTTCGAAGAGAATCGGATGCTCATTTCACATTTTATGAGTCCAATGGTTTTTCAAAATGTGGAGGAGGTACCACAAGAAGTGTCCCGATACATGCTATCTTCACATCTGAACTTGTATTCATAGAAATATTGGAATATGGCGAGTTTGAAAAATTTTGAGCCTTTCTGGGGGAGGTACCAGAAGGAGTGGACTGATATTGTCTATTTTCATACCTGCCCCAGTACTGATAAAAATATTAGGATTTGCGAAGTTTGCACAAAACTAAATGATCCTCGCTCTATGAGGAATTTTATTTTATTTTAAAAAAATTTGACCTTACCCAGCTTATATAGATTTGGGAAATATTTGTCCACTCATTCGGTTACTACCCACATAAAATTTAAAGAAACACCCCCTTCTCCCTCCAAAAAGCCATTTTGAATAATAATAATAATTCTCGAAGTATGTGAAATCCCTGTCGGATTTTTTTTTTTCAAACTTTGTACAATATTACAGCAAGTAAAAATCGAAAATCCCAATTTATCCATTTTGGTACACTTCTCGCAAAGATAAAATGTTTGTAACTGCCTATAAAATGGAAAATTAATGTCCGATTTCCTCCACATGTTTTACATCCCAAATTGTTGTCTATATTAGAACAAGATTATCCTCAGTTAAACTGTACTGGTTTTGCACTTACAAATCTTTCTTAAAAATCCAGGCCAAGAACTTTGTATAGGTCCAATGTATTAGTCCTTGAATGTTTTTTTTTTTTTTATTTAAAAACTATGTCTATGGGTCTGCTGATGCCCACAAATTAAAATTACGAAGTTATAATAAAATACGAGAGATTATCAGCCGGAGACGGTAAAATATATAAAAGAGAGACAATTTAATAAGTTATATCGGATACTACAGCCTATGACAGAAAATTGCCTATACAGGCCAATGTCTTCGTATAGCCTTCATATAATGATTTTAGCGACATTATCCACCGGACTTTTATCAAGTTTTATATTTGAATATCGTAATGGCCTCTGTCAAAATTACCCATGCCCCAATATAACTCCCTATGTTTGGTATTTTTATGATTCTAGCAGTATTTTTAAAGGATTTTTTTAAATTTGCAAAAATTATTATCCGTGGGACACAAATCATCAAAATACCGAATATCTTGAGGTACAGTTATATTTTGTCATAAGTTATTACAATATTTAAATGCGAAACTTGAAGAAAAATCTGTTTATAATGTCGCTAAAATCATCAAAATACCGTTATATGGGGGCTACACGAAGACGTGGACCTGCACAGATAATTTTCTGTCTTAGGCTGTAGTATCCATTACGAACTTCATGTGCCAAATTTGAAACAATTTCGGCGAATAATGTCGCTAAAATCATCAAAATACCGAATATCGGGTGGTACCGTTATATGGGGGCTATATGATAACTTGGACCTACATGGCCCATTTACGAAATTAACCTGCCTGCTGACAAAATATACATGTGTGCAAAATATTAACCTTCTATCTCAATTTGTTCGAAAGATAGCGTGATTACAACAGACAGACGGACATGGCTAAATCGTCTTAGAATTTTACGCCAATCAAGAATATATATACACTGTTGGGTCTGACATTAGTATTTCGAGGAGTTACAAACGGAATTACAAAATTAATATACCCTCCATAGTATGGTGGAGGGTATAAAAATTGGAATACAATACTCGTATCTTAAAACCATAAATAAGCTAGTCTTCATATATATAAATTTAAATGCCTTTTAAAAATATTAGAACAAAACAGCTGCAGAAATCGAAATATCGATATAAGTTAAATGTTATTTATTTTGCGACATAAGCTACATATATTTATACATAAAATAATGTAATATCTAAGATACATAGATCTTCAAGTGTTCACTTGAACAATACATGTTCGCTACATAAAATGCTTCGTAATAATATGTACGTTTTAAATGTGTATGTGTGTGTACTGAAATTCAGCTCTCTCTCGTAAATTCCCATATTTGCATTTTTATTCAGAATATTATAGCACCCTTAGAGCATTTACATAAGTAAACACGCACACACACATACACACTGAACCGGTAGTCGCACTCTGGCACACCTAACACAATCAGAGCATCTCACTCGCATTTGGATTAAGTCGAAGAAGTCTGAGACTTCACACACACTTGGCAGTCGGCAAAGGCATTACGAATTACGAATTCATTCAAAATATCCTCTGCTCATATGATTAGTGTCAAGTGTGGCAAATAATTATTTACACATACAGACTTGGCACTTTCGTTCGTAAAATCCTGGGCGACTATGGTTGATGGATGCCTGGGAAATGGAAAGATGCATCCTTTCATTATTCAACAACAGCCTAAGTAGAGACTAGTATTTGTAGTAGGTGTATTGGTTTTTGGGAAAAGGATTGTTCGTTTGGGTGATACTGGACCATTCTGGCAATTGGGAACAGTTGCAAATTAAAATCAAGTCGAAACATAA